TCCAGGCGAACAGGGTCGCCGGGCCTGGCCCAGCCTCCCCCCACATCTGAGCTCACCCAGACAGCCACCCTCGCTCGACTCTGCCTTCCAGGCCTGCTCTGTGCCAGTGTCCGGGCAGTGCTGATTTTCCTGCCTCCCTGTGATTAGCGACTAATCTTATTTTTTTGTTCCCCAACCCATAAATCAGTTACAGAGCAAATATTTACACAGGCCATCATTTCCGACTGAACCAGGGCTCGTGACAGCCTTCATTATTAAAAAGGGTGACTGATTTTGGGCAGAGATTTCCCGAGCATGCGGCTGGATGTTTTCTTTTAGGTTTCCTTCCCTGAAGAAAAGAACAATTTCCAAGATAAACTGGCACGGGGGTCTGCTCTTGCTATCTCCCTGGGGGGCCAGTGGGACATGGTCAGCCCAGTAAGTGCTGGCCTGGGCTAGCTTCTCCCCGCTTCTCTGGGCCTCCCCCTAACTCACAAACATCCCCTAAAGTCAGGAACCCTAAAGAAGAGAGAGGGAGAAGGGCCGGGAAGGGGAAACTGGCAGCATCGTTACTCTCAGCCCATGACACCCAAGGTGACCCCGAGGGAAGCCAAGTGTTGAGTTGATAAGATGACCCGGTGGGGAAGCAGGAGGCTCTGTCATTACTTAGCAAGTCACCTCGGGCTATGAGGCTGGTTTTCCCTCTGGTCAAGAGCAGGGATTTGCTAAGTGGTCTCTGTCCCTCTCTGCTCCACATATCTTGGTTCTAATTGTGACAGCTGCCATTCACTGAGCCCTCACTATGTGCCTGGCCTTGTGCTGAGCATCTTATAGGCATTAGCTCATTCAATTCTTCCAGATGGGGATTGTCACCTCCAGATGAAGAAACACAGGGTTGGTGGCATCCCAAGGAGTGTGTAAGGGGCAGAGCGAGGCTTTGACCTTGGCTCTGTCTTGACCCCCATGCTCTTTGTCTTAAAATCTATTGCAGCCTCCCCAGGACCTGGTTCTGCTGCTTGGCACACCTGGGCAAGGACGCTCGCTGCCATTTCAATTCTCACCCCGCCGGCATCTCCACATGGATGCATCTGGGGTCAGCACCCTAAGCAAATGCAGATGATTGTCATTCAGGTGGTGAGCCAGCAAAGGGCTTTCTCTCTGCAAGCAGGTCAGCCGGGAATATTTACTCAGGTAAACGCTGAGATTTTGC